AGCAACATCAATGCCTGCCAGGTGATCGCCGAAGCCGTGCGCACCACCCTGGGACCTCGGGGCATGGACAAGCTCATTGTGGATGACCGAGGTGAGCACTGGGCAGTGGCCTCCACAGCCACGTGAAGAAGTCACTGAGGAATCATCTCCAAGTGCACCACTGGCAGGGAGCTTATTGACTCGTGTCTTCCCACCACTGCCTGGACTTCAATGCCTGCCAGGTGATCGCCGAAGCCGTGCGCACCACCCTGGGACCTCGGGGCATGGACAAGCTCATTGTGGATGACCGAGGTGAGCACTGGGCAGTGGCCTCCACAGCCACGTGAAGAAGTCACTGAGGAATCATCTCCAAGTGCACCACTGGCAGGGAGCTTATTGACTCGTGTCTTCCCACCACTGCCTGGACTGGAAAAGCCCTTTAAGATCATTGAGTCCAACCATGAACCCAACACTGACCAGTCCCCTGTGACTAACCCATGTCCCTCAGCACTGTGTCTACACCACTCTTCAATCCCTCCAGGGATGGGGACTCCACCACTGCCCTGGGCAACCCCTTCCAATGCCTCACAACCCTTGCAGCAAAGAAATTCTTCCTCACATCCCATCTCAACTGCCCTTGGGGCAACTTGAGGCCATTTCCTCTTGTCCTGTCCCTTGGTCCTTGGTTGAACAGACCCACCCCCACCTCTCCCCACCCTCCTCCAAGGGACTTGGACAGAGACACAAGGTCTCCCCTCAGCCTCCTTTTCTCCAGGCTCAACACCCCCAGTTCCCTCAGCCACAAGGGAACTCAGCACACTTGTGCTCTAGATGAACTGGTGGGGCACAGTCAGACTGGCTGGTCTGAAGTTGGTGTGTTAACATCTCCCTGAGGTCTGCAAAGCTCCCTTGAGTGTTGGGGTTGCCCTTTCAGAGTAACCAGGGCTTTCCTCACAGCTTGATTCCCTTCTGTACATCAATCCTAGGCAAAGCCACCATCTCTAACGATGGTGCCACCATCCTGAAGCTCCTTGATGTCGTCCATCCGGCTGCGAAGACGTTGGTGGACATCGCCAAATCTCAAGATGCAGAGGTAGGAGGGGAGGAGGCTGCACTCAGGAGCGCAACATGGAGCAGCCAGCTTGCTCCTGTCAGTGGTTGTGTGGACTCTGTGTTAACGGGTGGGAGTTACTGGTGCAGTGCTGGTGTTTGTTCCGCTTTCTTTAGCGTTTCCTTCTCTTTTGTGATGACTTTTAGATATTTTTGCATTATTTCAGCCAGATTTGATGGGTAGTTTAGAAACAAAGATACAAAGTTCGCATTTCATGAACATAAGAGACTGGAAAATGAGACTTCACCCTCAAGGGGGGTGTAGTCTGAACCCAGCCCTCGTTAATCGCTACAGAATCCAGCTGCAAATCTGTGAGCACAAAAAAATTGTGAAATCTGCTTTCTTTTGGGAGCCCTCGTGTGGTTTCCAAACTGCTCTCACAGCGACTCTGCAGCCCGTGGATGACACAGAGCGTTTCCTCCCCATGCAGGTTGGTGATGGTACCACATCTGTAACTTTGCTCGCTGCTGAGTTCCTGAAACAAGTGAAGCCCTACGTGGAGGAAGGTCTCCATCCTCAGATCATCATCCGTGCCTTCCGCACCGCCACGCAGCTGGTAAGGCAGGGAGAGCTCACCAGGAGTGCATTGGGCTTCACCAAAGTATTGTGTCTCCAGTTCTGGAGCCCTCATCACAAGAGAGACCTGGAGCAGCTAGAACAAGTCCAGAGGAGGCCACGAGGATGATGCGAGGGCTGGAGCAGCTCTGCTGTGAGGACAGGCTGAGAGAGTTGGGGCTGTTCAGCCTGGAGAAGAGAAGGCTCCAGGGAGACCTTCTAGTGGCCTCCCAGTACCTGAAGGGGCTCCAGGAAGGGTGGGGAGGGACTTTTCATAAGGGCAGTTAATGACAAAACAAGGGGAAATGGGTTTAAACTGAAAGAGGGGAGGTTTAGATGAGATATTAGGAAGAAGCTCTTCACTGTGAGGGTGGTGAGACACTGGAACAGGTTGCCCAGAGAAGCTGTGGCTGCTCCTCCCTGGAAGTGTTGGCGGCCAGGTTGGATGAGGCTTTGAGCAGCCTGGTCTAGTGGAAGGGGTCCCTGCTGCTGGCAGGGGGGTTGGGACTGGATGAGCTTTCAGGTCCCTCCCAACCCAAACCAGTCTGGGATTCTATGATCTGGGGAGTGGAATTCTGTACCAAAGAGGAAAGATAACACATTTCCAGGCACAAATCAGTAATTAAAGGGTGTGGGTGGTGACAGTGGCGATCTCATGATGTCTTCCTGCAAACATCAGCTGCCTTCACTGGTGTCAGCGAGCTGTTATTACCAGCTGGTGCCTCTTGAGTGCTCTTGCTTCCTTTGTTTTTGCTCCAAGGAAGAATAAATAAGTGGGGAAATTCCTTTCCCATCCTTCTGGTCGCTGCTGCTCCTTGGTACACTTTAGGCCTTGTGAAGCACATCAGCCCCGTTAACCTGAACGTTCTCTGGAGATTAACTCCCTCCCTTTGGTTCCCCACATCTCTGCTGAACACAGCGAAGCACCTCTGAGCCTCTTCCTGGTGTGTTTGTTAGAATTTCTGTGCTGGAAGGGGTGGGATAGTTTAAATCCCTGAAACTTGGAGTGATGCTGAAGTAGGGAGTGGAAGGGAACGTAAAATACAAAGTGAAAAGTTGGAGATCTGATCAGTTGATGAGCAGGAATCATTAATCCAGCTGTTGACTCGTGTTTTGACAGGCTGTAAACAAGATCAAGGACATTGCTGTGACAGTGAAGAAGGAAGATAAAGAGTAAGTTTCCCTTCCCCATGACCTACTTGTGTAGCTGGGCTTCAGTTTGCTGGTGTGAGGGTGTTTCTGACTCGTGCTGTGGCTCAGGCTGAGCTCTCGAGGTCGGACTGAACAGCTTTGACCCCACACCAGGGTTACTCTTGAGCTTTTGGAGTTTCCTGCTCCTCTGAGGGAGATGCCGTGTTCCCCCTTGGGCTGCAGTGAGGTATGTAGGCCAGAGTCTTCCAGTGCACGTGGAGGAAGTGAGGCACCAAAATAAGTGGCCTGATTTATTTTTTTTCCCCTGTCTGTGATGGACTCTTGCAGCTTTTGCTGCAATCAGTGGCAGTGTTAAATGCCTCTCTAAAAATCAGATCACTTTTTAGCTGTGAACACGGGAAGTTAGGTATTGAGTAGCAGGAAAGGAACAATCCCTTCAGCTGAGGTGAGAATACTAGGGTTGATTTTCCCCTGGCATTTTAATCTCTTGCCTGTTAGGTCTGACCTTACTGCAGCAAATTATCTGCAGTAAAACATTGAGTTGAGAGGATAGCTGCAGTAAAATAGTGAGCTGAGAGGATATCTGCAGTAAAATACCGAGTTGAGAGGATATCTGCAGTAAAATAGTGAGTTCATAGAATATCTGCAGTAAAATATCGACTTGAACTGTGTAACCATCTTAAATAAACTGAAATGAGTTGTTTCCTTGGACTGTGTGACATGAAATAAGTAGTTCTCATGGTCAGCAGTAACTTGGATGATAGAGCCTGGGAGTTGGATCTGTGTTTCCCTGGTGTCCCTTGTTAATATTTCAGAGGATGTGCCACACTTAGAGAGATTAAAAACTCCTGACTGCCTTGGGGTGAAGAAGAGGGTAATGAGCTCCTGCTGTCTTGCTCAGGCCTGTGGGGTTTAAAAGCCAACCCACCCAGCCAGGGCTAGTCTGGTGCTCAGGCTCTAGAAAGGAGAATTGTGTTTTGACATGAAGAGCCCTGAGGAGAAGGACTTGGGGTGCTGG